GAGAGAGAGAGAGAGAGAGAGAGAGAGAGAGAGAGATTGTGGCTCATCAGATATTGAAAACTATTGACCAGGGGAAAAAACTACTTTCAGAAAAGAAAAACTAAAGCCACAAGCAGTGATAAATCGAAGACGATGCAGCCAACGTTGGAATCGGGTCAGCTTGGACAACCTGCAGTCACAGGTGCCCTGTCACCTGCGAGCTTCTCTCAGCCTCCTCGGATGCCTCCACCAACCCCGGGCAGCAGTTTCTCAACCCAGGTACCGTCTTGCTCTTCCCCGTACTTGTTCCTCTCCCTACAACATAGCACAGGAATCATCAGGACCTGGAAAGAGCTTCTCAGTAATTCCCCTACTCTGTAAAATTCATTACACAACAATGACAGTCACCACAGCTGCTGTCTCTCTGCTATGACAATGACATATGCACACAGCTCAGGATAATGCTATTTTTGCCAAGCATACTGGCTTGGAAGTGACACTTTCAAAGTCCCCATCGGCCTACACAGATGACTCCTTAAACAAATGACTCTCATGAGATTTTCTACTCCCATGAGCAACGTTCTCCTGCCCTGAATCCTCCTTGGAGCCCAAGGACCACGGAGGCTCATCGGCTCCCTCAGACTCTTGCACATAAACACACATGTAGTGAATTCCTCCCTGGGGTCCAGCCACCTGTACAGGAAGAAAACGGGTGTCTGATTGTTCAGTCTTTTCTTCGTTAGGTGAGCACAAAAATGTTGCTCTGATTCATCATGGGGTCTCCCAATGATTTTCTCTACCATGTGGGATCCGTTCAACTTTTACCTGAAACCAGGCGTAGACCGGTTTTGCTCTTGATTCCGACAGCTACGTCTCTTCTAAAGCAAACAGCTCAGGACATCATGTTTCTACAACAGGACAGGGTGATGAAGGAAATGAAATCAATTATTATTTTCTCATATTATCCAGTCAAAAAGAATATTTTCAGCATCTAGGGGTGCCTCAGTGATACAACCGATAGAACATCCAACTCCTGATCTCTGCTCAGGTCATGACCTCATGCTTTTGAAATCAAGCCCTACATTGGGCTCTGGGCTGAGAGTGAAGAGTCGACTTGAGGTTCATTCTCTCCCCATCTCTGCTCCCATACCCTACACGTTCCCTCTCTCTCTCCCCCCCCCCCCTTTCTTTGCATTCTCACTCCCTTGCACTTAAAATGAAGAAATAAACTTGAAAAAATATTTTCAGCATCTAAATCCTACTGCTATCATAGAAGCTTTCAGTGTCACTGACTTTGGGGGAATATTAAGTTAAGGTTGTCTTGGGACAAATTGCTACCTGTGGCAGAAGCGAATAGAGAATCTACTTTAGGGAAGTATTTCCCATGCCATCAGGAGAGACCCACATTACAACAGAGACATCTACAGATCAGAGCAGACCAAAATCTCTAAATAGATCATGAAAAAGCGGTGACAATGCCGACATGGCTGTGTATTGCGCAAGTAGTGTGTTGGACCCCAGAATCTGGTGCTCTGTGTCCGTGATCTCATCTCATCTTTATAACAGCATTCATTATTTATCACTCAGGGCCATTGTTGTTGGCCCTGTTGTTAAGGCCATTTCGCCTCTGGGAGAACTGAGGTTCCTAGAGGCTAAACACGTTCTGCGAAGGTCACACAGACAGTGAGCGTCAGAGCGTGAACACGTGAGCGCTTCACGGGCACAAACCGAATCCACGTAGCTGTGCGGATGTTACAATATTTTTTTAATGCCTCTAACCAGAGTCATGGGTGGACTTGTTTCCACAGCCAGGCTCTGTCCTCCTGCAAAAGAGGCATGAGGTGTGGGGGTTGGTCCGACAGTGTTCTAATCAGGAAGCCGCCTGCCAGAGGCAGGTATTCCAGAAGCTCTCTCATCTACAACTTTATCCACAAGTGACACTTGATGAACTGGTCAAATGGATGCTAAAAGTGACAAGAATGGTGGCACGGGCATATCGGATGCAGGATGGTCCAAATGGGCTTTCGTTAGTAAAAGGACAGGTAGTCAAGACAAACGAGTTTACAGACTCTTTCTGCAATACCTTAAACGATCATAAAAGTCCAAGTCCTGGGAAAGCCTGAGGGAAATCCTCATTGGGTTTGTCTGTCCCTGAGATCTCTGAGGGATTTGGTGGCCTGGTGCACAAACCTGGCTCTGGAACAATGAACAGGGGGAATCTCACTGGCATGGAAAACAAATCATTCACAGGGTTTCCTGAGCTGAAGGACAGGAGATAGGAACGAATTTGCTTATTTGCGCAAGCACAAGGCAGTGAAAAACTTGGCTAATGAAACATCCCGAAGTTCAGCCAAGTAGTTCTGAGACTCATTTCCATTGGAGCCAGGTAGGGTTTTACCAGGCCATGATCCACATGTCGTCTTGAGGAGCTTGACATAGGGCCCTTGGAAGCAGAGGTGGAACTAGAATTGCCTAGCATTCCAAAGAAAGTTCAATCATCTGTGTGGTTAAAATTTGCAGAGGGATGTTTGTACCCTAGTTGGGGTCCAAGCCAGAGAGCAGAAGGAGGTATCCTATATGTGCTAGTATTCCAGAGTGAAGATCCTGGGGTGTGTGTGTGTGTGTGTGTGTGCACGTGCGAGAGAGAGACAGAGACAGAGAGAGAGACAAACAGAGAGTTGAAGGGGAGAGGAGAGTGAGAAGGAGAGTAGGAAAGTGAGAGAGAGAGAGAGAGAGAGGGAGAGATTGTGGCTCATCAGATATTGAAAACTATTGACCAGGGGAAAAACTACTTTCAGAAAAAGAAAACGCAAAACACAAATACTGCAAAATCTGAGATGATGCAGCCAACGCTGGAATGGGGTCAGCTTGGACAACCTTCCGTCACAGGTGCCCTGTCACCTGCGAGCTTCTCTCAGCCTCCTCAGATGCCTCCACCAACTCCGGGCTGCAGTTTCTCGACCAAGGTACCATCTTGCTCTTCCCTGTACTTGTTCCTCTCTCTACAACATAGCACAGGAATCACCAGGACCTATAAAGAGCTTCTCCGTACTATGTACACTATGTATAATTTCCTTAGATAACAATAATCGCTCATTAGCTTATCAAATACAGGTAGTGAGATTTCAGTGTAGTAGAGATCCTCTGCTATTTGAAGGTATGCATTTTGAAACAATTCCGAATCTCAAGTGGGTTACCAACTTGGTGCAAGAGTAGGGGTAGGGGGTGGCCGGACCATTAACGATGAACATGGGAGGGTGTTTATACCCTGCATTCCTGTCTCCTTTTGTCCCTTTCCCCTTGGCTTATTGACCATACATCTGGATTCATTTCCAGCATTCGGGGCTCCCTCCCACGTCACGTGTGTAAACATAAGCTATCTCGATGGTTTGGAATTCATGACGCTTGTCTTTTCACTGGCCCAGATACACCCACCTTCGGACCCCAGCCTGACTCCCTTCACCCCGGCAAGTCCTCACTGATGTGCCCCCAACAACACATCACATCTTCCCACTGCTGGCTGTCACGGGTCCTTTGATTTTTTTCCAGCATTTATCACCACTCTAATGAGTGTAAGTTCTCCTTTTATGGGACCATGACCTCAGATTATAGGGGAAGACCAGGCGAGGTGGAGAAGTGAGTGCACACGTGTGTATCCCCTCCCTCCCAGCGGACCTCTGTCCCACCCTGACATGACCACGGTGGCTGCCTACACTCGGGAGATATAATGTCCATTCTGTGGCAAATGCCACAGGAATACCCACCTGAGGAATGAGCCAGGCAACACTTGAATCACTATTCTCTAATGTAGTTTGTCACCCAAGCCCCAAGCTGCCCTCTGACCCAGGCTGTACCCCGGCCCCAACACACACATAGCACTTGAGGACAAACGCCCTAAAGACATCTTTCTCAAGTTGTGTCTTGTGGATCCTACTGTTGTCAGCACCAAAACTCATCATCCCTACCCAGGGTCCCCAGGATTTATGCATGGGATGGAGCTGGCTACCTGTGCCTATTGGATCTCAGGCCCAGACGGCCGCGGATGTGTCCTTCTCCAGTCACTGAAAACTCAGCCGCTGTGTCTCTGCTAGCACAATGACATATGTGCACATCTCAAGATAACTCTGCTTTGACCCTGCATCCTGGCTTGGAAGTGACAGTTTCTCAGTCCCCACCTGCTTATATATGGGACACAGCCATTTCTATTCTGGGAGAATCCTCACACTGCCCTTAAACGTCTTAGAGAACAGGGACCCCGGGAAGGCTCATCTGCCGACTCAGCCTCTTCCCATAAACGCACCATGCAGTCGGTTGTTCCACGGGGTCCAGCCACCTGCACAGGAAGCCTGCAAAAAATGGGTCCACCATCCATCTGTGTCTCATTAGATGAGCAGGAAAGCCTTGCCTGATTCATCACAGGGTCTCCCACCGATTTTCTTCAGGTGTGGGTTCTGTTCCTTTTGTTTCCCCAAAACCAGATGCAGACAAATATTACCTTTGATTCCTGTGTTTCCAGAAGCAAACAGCTGACAACATCATGTTTCAAGAACTAGACAGGGTGAATACGTGAAAAATCTGGAGAGGGAAAAAAAAATCAATTATTATTTTTTCATATTATTCAGTCAAAAATAATATATTCAGCATCTAGGGTTGCCTCAGTGGCTCAATCGGTAGAACATCCAACTCCTGATCTCTGCTCAGGTCATGACCTCACAATTTCTGAGATCAAGCCCTGCACTGGACTCTGGGCTGAGAGTGAACAGTCAACTTGATTTCACTCTCTCCCCATCTCTCTGCCCCCCCTACCCCACACATTCTCTCTCTCTCTCTCTCTCTCTCTCTCTTCTCTCTCTCTGTTTGCATTCTGATTCTCTTGCACTTAAAATGAAGAAATAAACTTGAAACAACATTTTCAGCATCTAAATCCTACTGCTATGACAGAAGCTTTCAGTGTCACTGATTTTGAGGGAATATCAAGATAAGGTTGTCTTGGGATAAATTGCTACCTGTGGCAGAAGCAAATAGAGGCTACTTTAGGGAACTATTTCCCACGCCATCAGGAGGGACCCACATACAACATGAGGCCTCTGTAGATCAGAGCCGACCAAAATCTCTAAGTAGATCGTGAAATAGCAGTGACAAGGCCGACATGGCTGTGTATTGCCCACATAGTGTGTTGGACCCCGGACCTGTGTGCTCTGTGTCCGTGATCTCATGTCATCTTTATAACAGCATTCGTTATTTATCACTTAGGGTGCTGTTGCTAGGGCCATTTCGCTTCTGAGAAAACTGAGGTTCCTAGAGGTTAAACACATTCTGCAAAGGTCACACAGACAGTGAGTGTCAGAGCGTGAACACGTGAGCTCTTCATGGGCACAAACCGAATCCACGTAGCTGTGCGGATGTTACAATATTTTTTTAATGCCTCTAATGTGTGAATAACCGGAGTCATGGGTGGACTTGTTTCCACAGCCCAGGCTCTGTCCTCCTGCAAAAGAGGAATGAGGTGTGGGGGTTGGTCTGACGGTGTTCTAATCAGGAAGCTGCCTGCCAGAGGCAGGTATTCCAGAAGCTCCCTCATCTACAACTTTATCCACAAGTGACACTTGATGAACTGGTCAAATGGATGCTAAAAGTGACAAGAATGGTGGCACGGGCATATCGGATGCAGGATGGTCCAAATGGGCTTTCGTTAGTAAAAGGACAGGTAGTCAAGACAAACGAGTTTACAGACTCCTTCTGCATTTCTTTAAACGATCATAAAAGTCCAGGTCCTGGGAAAGCCTGAGGGAAATCCTCATTGGCTTTGTCTGTCCCTGAGATCCCTGAGGGATTTGGTGGCCTGCTGCAGAATCCGGCCTCTGGAATGATGAACGGGGGGAATCTCACTGCCATGGAAAACAAAGCATTCACAGGGTTTCCTGAGCTGAAGGACAGGAGATAGGAACGAATTTGCTTATTTGCCGAAGCACAAGGCAGTGAAAAACTTGGCTAATGAAACATCCCGAAGTTCAGCCAAGTAGTTGTGAGACTGGTTTCCATTGGAGCCTGGTAGGGTTATCTACCAGGCCACGATCCACGTGTCATCTTGAGGAGCTTGACATAGGGCCCTTGGAAGCAGAAAGAACTAGAATTGCCTAGCATTCCAATGAAAGTTCAAACATCTGTGTGGTTGAAATTTGCAGAGGGATGTTTGTATCCTGGTTGGGGTCCACGACAGAGAGCAGAAGGAGGTATCCTATATGTGCTAGCATTCCAGAGTGAAGAACGTGGGGTGTGTTTGTGTGTGTGTGAGTGTGCGGGGGAGAGAGAGACACACAGACAGAGAGGAGGAAGGGGAGAGGAGAGTGAGCAGGAAAGTGGGAAAGTGAGAGAGAGAGAGAGAGAGAGAGAGAGAGAGAGAGAGAGAGATTGTGGCTCATCAGATATTGAAAACTATTGACCAGGGGAAAAAACTACTTTCAGAAAAGAAAAACTAAAGCCACAAGCAGTGATAAATCGAAGACGATGCAGCCAACG